ATGTTTCTTCCCTAACTTCCGTTTTCTCTGTGAGCCAGTTGGTTATTTATACATTTTTTCTTCCATGTTAAAATTGTTTACACTCTGAAGGGGGCTTGTATGTATTTTTACTTTTTAATGTAAATATGTTCATGTACTTGTTTGCGTAAATATTATTCTATTTTGTTTTGATTTATAAGAGCACCATCAACACACACACCTACACACACACACACATTACACACACACATCCTCACTCACATACACTTACACCCACACATGCAAACACACTTGCAAAAACACACTCAATCACACACAAACACACATTCTCACAAACATGCAAGAGCACACACACATGCAAAAACACACTCAGTTACACACACACACATACACAATCATCTCACCATACAAAAATCGCTTCAACAAACATTCACATGAACAGATGTTGTTTAATCATAAGAGGAAACAAATTAAATACAAACACACACACACCAACAAACAAACGCGTATGCACAAACATTTCATGGGTACGAGCACACTCCTCCTGAACACTGTCCACAACACACACATATGCGTACGTACATGTGTGCATATAAGTAAATGAAACATTTTTTTGTTCCTTATTATGCAGCTCTGACATACGCTTAACCGCTGACATATCATCCCTGTGTTTAGACCTTCTAGCCACAAAGATTGTACCATGCAGACCACACGGCGAACACACACATTATGTATGCACGTGCAAGCCCGCATCATACGCGAATGGCGTCTTTGAGTTTCGGGCCGATGGCATTCGAACCAGGCCATCGCGTAACTGCACGAGACATGGCACTTCTACCGACTGAGCTAACCAGTCGACCAACATGTGCATATTTACATACGTTTGAACTAAATTTTTTTTATAATGGATACACATGCACACACAAAACACACACACATACAAAAACACATACACACATATACAAACACACATACAACTACACATACACACACATACAAACACACATACACACAAAGACAAAAACACACACATACGCTGAAACAGTTGACTGTTTCACCTGGTGGCAATAATTTTTAATTTTCATCATTTCTTCCCTCAATGGGATTACTTTTATCATTCGTGGCTGTCATCATCATCATCATCTGCATCTTCATCATCTGCATCTTTGTTTTGTTACCTCTTATATTTTTATTATTATTATCATTTTTATTATTGTTATTGTTGTTATTAATTTCGTGAGATGATGATGACGATGATACTGGCGGCTCGCGTGTTCAGAGGTGGACATGGGTTGGGTTAACCCATGGGTTGGGTTGGGTTGGGTTGGGTTGGGTCCAAATTTTTTAAAGTTGTGTGGGTTGGGTTGAAATTTTCAAATTTTATTATAAATAATTTATTTCTGTATTGTTTTTATTCTTAAACGAACATTTTAACTAGTTAATAATCGGTGTATTTGATATCGCTGTAATATTATTGTATCTTTGGTCTATCGTTTCCACTTTCTTTTTGTGATTATTGAGTTGAGCAAAAAGTAACTTCTTTCCGATCGAGAAAATTAGTTTTATTTACAAGTATGGCAGAATCAGAAGAAATTCAGCGTCATTTGAGAGGTTTGTGTGATTTAAATTTGCTAAGTTTGCGAAAGTAAAAAATCTAATAAATTTCACATTAACATTTTTACAT